CCCCCCCCCCCCGCAGGGACGACTACGACCGGCAGGTGAAGCAGGCCAAGGAGCAGCTGCGGCGGAGGCTCACCCCCGCGCCCCCCCGGCCCCGCAGGCCCGACCAGCAGGTCTACCGCGCCGGCCGCCGAGGTGGGTCCGGGCCGCCCGGGCGGAGGGGGGGGGGGGGGGGGGGGGGGGGGGGGCCCCCGGGGGGGCCCCCCCCCGCCGCCTTCTCTGCCTTGCAGGCGCAGCCGGAGGAGGAGCCCCCGCGGGCGGCGGCGGCGGCGGCGGCGGCGCGGAGGGCGAGTCGGAGGCCTCGAGCGGGAGCAGCTCCAGCAGCCGCGAGCGGCGCCCCCGCGGCCCGGCCCTCTTCTGCCTGGAGTACGAGGCCGACGGCGGCCAGGTGACCTCGGTGGTGGTCTACCAGGTAGGCGGGCGAGAAGGAGGGGGGGCGGCGGCGGCGGCGTCTTCGGGGCTGCCCGGTTCCCCTCGCGCCCCCCCCCCTTTTCCTGGCCTCCTGCGCGGGATCCTCGGCTGGGCTGCTTGGGGCCTGGCGGGGGCTTGTCCTGCCCTCCAGACGCTCCCCGGCCAGGTCAGCCTCCGGCTTTTGCTCCTTGCATCGTTACTGAGCTAAGACCTGGTGGTTTTAGGAAGCATTTGGACAGGACTGATTATTTAGCTCCGCCGCTGCTGCTGTATATATGTATTTCCTGACAGTAAACATAATTTTTTTTACTGTCCATCAGGCTTTTATTATTCTACTGCTGTATTTGGCTTTTGAAATTGTTCTTGCTTTTAAAAGCAGCAAGCTGGCAGTAAAGGAGCTGTGACTAACACAACCTGAAGGTTACACAAATGAGGCATGGTAACAAAACCATCCATTTCCATTGTTTACTTCTAAAAAGACTGAAAAGGATGCATTAAGCTCCTAGGAGCTTTGTGAAAGTGTGCTTTATAATCCCCAAAGGGTTGTTTGCACTTTGTCATCTGAGCAGGGTGTTTCCTAATGGACCTTTTGGCTTCTTGGCACAGGACAATGACCCCGAAGAAGTGGTGGAGAAGGTCAGTGCCCAGAATCAGCTGGAGCCAGCTTTGCACCAGGCCCTTCGGCAACGAGTACAGGAGGAATTGGAGAAGCGGCGGGTGAAGCGCTGAGAGCCACGGCAGGCGTTGAGAAATGCTTTAGGGGAAACGGTGCTGGGCCCTGTGTGGGGGGTCCCCTTCAGCTGCTCCAGGGTACCATCGGGAGCGGCGGCAGAAGGAAGCAAGTCCATCTGTTGACAGGTCTGCCCCAGGCAAATGCTTGCAGCCCAGACTTGCTGGCTGGCTCTGTATGGTAGTGGTCTGCGTTTCCCTCCCACTCTTGTGAACATCCAAGCGGGCCTGCTGTTTGCTTGGACAACAAAACCCAGGCGAAGGTGGCAGGATGTTACCAGCTGCCTTTCCCAATTTCTCAGGCTCTTGGGTGATGCTGAGGGTAGAGATGGCTGCTGGTGAATCGGTTATTGAAGGGAGCTGCTCCCTCACCTAGATTTGCAGCTTTTTGGTAGGTCAGCCAGAAGGGCCTTTCAGCCAGAAGAACGTGCTGGGGTGACCCAGAGATCGTGGTGGGGAGGATGGGAAGAAGCATCTCTCTTGGGGGGCCGTTGCCTTGCCCTCTTCCTGCCAGGAAAGGTTCTCAGAAATGTAGCACAGGGATGTAAATAAAGACCTAGAACCTGCTTTTCCATCATAGTTCTTTGGTGCAGGAATTTGTTCTGAATGATTGCATAGTTCCGGGAAACTTGCCTGACCCCTTTGTGGACTAAACATCGTTGGTGCTTAAGGAAGGCCCTGTTGTCCATGTTCTTCCGGCCTTGGCATAAGACTCTCAAGTCAGTTAACAATTCAGGAGGAGCCGGAAGATCCAGAATTGAACTCTGCTTCTTTAAAAAGGACTTGCATTTACATTCTTGTGTAGTTTTGGGAAATAACCCTATTCAGGAACACACAACACATTAAGGTACAAAAAAGCAAACTATTTTAGGGATTGGCCTGTGAAGATGCCCAGACATCGCTAATGGCATCTAAAACCCCTGAATCTTCTGGCAGAACAGAGGGAGATGTTTCTTAATTAACCGATCAGCCGTCAGGGCTGCGGTTTATACTTCTTTATTTCATGAATATTTTTATTATCTTATGTCTTTTAAATGGCTTCATAATGCATGAACCAACCACCTTTCCACACGTTCGGACCGGGTGTCGCGCACAGCCGCGCTTGAGAGCAGCAGCGGCCCCGGCTCCTCTGCCCCCAGCCGACCTTATTGGGGGGGGGGGGGGGCGGGGACAGGAGGGACCTCGAGCTCCCTACGGTGCAACCCCGTCCCTGCAGAAGAGCCGCCTTGGATCCGCGGGGGACGCGCCTTCCCGGGCCCGCCGCCTCCCAACGTTCCCGGGGCCGAAGGGGAGCCACGCGCAGCCCCTCACGGCGCCCCAGGCTGCAGGGCGCAGGCGCGATCCACGGCCCAGGCCGTCCTCCCCAGCCGAGTCGCTCCGGCCCGCGCCCGCCTGCCTGCTCCCCCGGCGCCTCCGCCGCCCGTCCGCCGGGGCCGCTTCGCGATGCCCGAGCGCGGCGCTTCCCGAGAGCGTCTGCCTGGCGAAGAAGGGCGCCGCTCCCCGGAGGAAGAGCCCGCACCGCCCGCCGCTCCGCTCCCAGGCAGCGGCCGGGGCTCCTCCCATCTCGCCCCGCGCGCGCCCCCTCCCCGCCGGCTGCCGCCCGGGCCCCGCCTGGTCAGCTGGGCGGGCGGCCGGCCGGGAAAGCGGCGAGCGAGCGAGCGAGCGGGACCGGCCTGGCCTCTAATTGCGGCGGCGGCGAGCGGTAAGGGAAGCGGCGGCTGCTCTCCGCGGAGCCCCGGCCCGGCATCCCTGCCTCCTTCCTCCGAGAGGCGGCTCGGGGAGCCTCTGCCTGCGGGGCGCCTCCCGCGTCGGGCCGGAGAGGGGAGCTCGCCGAAGAGGCCTTCCGGCCGGGGGCCGAGCGACGGGGCTGGCCGGGGCCGGCAGGGTGCAGCGCCGCGACGGGGCGGGTGCGCGGGAAGAGGGAGCCGGGCTGGTTCATTGAAGGCGGCCGCCTCCCGGCTCCCGTCTCCCCTGGAAATCCGCCTCCGGCTGGGGCCTCTCCCGGCCCTTCGTCCCTCGCCCTCCTTCGCCGCCGCTTGGAAGGCCTCGCGGGGAGAGCGCGCCTGGCCTCCCGCCTTCGCTCCCCTTGGGGATGGGCTCCGTTGCTGCCTCCTCCCGTCCAACCCGTTTGGAAGCTCCCTAAATCACCCCCGTTGTGTTGGCTTTGCCGTCCCAGAAGCTGAAGAAGCTCCTGGGATGAGAAGCGAAAGGTCATCAAAGAAAAAACAAGAAAGTCCAGTTGGCTCTTGGGGAAAAAAAGCACTTTTGGGGCAACCCTGAGACCTGGATGAGGGAGATGGCCGGAGGGGAATCTGCCGGGACTTGGGGCAAAAACTGACAGGCGTTCGGTGTCGCTCCTGGAAGGAAGGCCCGGGATTTGTGAGGTGGTCTTGAACCTTGATCTGGAGGAGAGGCAACTTCAGCAAATGCTTGCCTGGTCAGACAATTGTCCAGGAACTGACCGTGGGGGACGCAGGGGGGAGATGCTGCCTAGGAAGCCCTCAGAGAAGCGTCCCCAGGGGCTCAGGCCAGAGGAGAAGCTCAGGAAGAACCTGCCCTGGGGGTTAAAAAGAGATCTGACCCTCCGGACTGTTTATTTTTATTTGTCAATTGCTTACAAGATAACAGGTATAAGTAAAAACATAGTTATGAATACATGGATACCTATAAGAAAAATAAAAAATATATAGATAAAAGAACCAATGGGACAGGGACGGTGGGCACGTTGGTGCGCTTATGCACGGCCCCTGCAGACCTCTTAGGAAAGGGGTGAGGTCAATAGGAGACAGCCTGAGGTTAACAGTTTTGGGGGGTTGGGGAAGAAACCACAGAGTCAGGTAGAGGATTCCGGACATTGACCACTCTGTTGCTAAGTTAAGTTGCTGTGTTAAGGTAGCCTTACACAAGTTGAATTCATCTAGTCCTGGAAGGGCTGGACCCTGACTTACCCTCTTTTTCTCCTGCTTCTCTTGTAGGAGGTGCCTTTGGATGGTTCCAGCTGGAGGCCTTGGGCTATAGCTGGGTCCCCCCCCCCCCCCCCCCCCCCCCCCTCCCCTCCCTTCTCCTCTCTTCCCCCGTCCCGCTCTTAAGGGCCTCCCTTCTGCACCCACTAATGACTGCGTGGATCATCCTCCCCATCAGCCTCTCTATCTTCTCAATCACTGGAATATGGATTGTGTAAGAGCCTTTGTGAATTGTGGCTGGGTCACACACGAGGGGTGGGGCCTCTGGCGTGCTTTCTTTCCTCCTGCAGAGGAACATGGGGTTCCTCTGCTGCTCCCCGAGCTGCAGGGTTGTATCAGCAGGTCTCCTGGGTACCTGCGGACAGAATCGTTTCCCAAAAGATGACTTAGCCAGTGGTCCCCAAATCAGGACCTGCATTCCCAAAGGAAAGGTGGTGGTGGTGGTGGTGTGGAAAAATTGGTGTTGTTGAACGTGCTGGAGACCATAAGGAGACCAAAGCGTTTGTGGCTACTTCCTCCTCCCGCCCCAGCAGCTTCCCTTGGGCGGTGCCACACGTTCTGAGGGCCACCATTCAGTGCCACGTTGCCTAATGTAGCGGTATCATGGCTACATTTATTCTGATGCTCTTGGGAGGATGTGGGTACAATGGTTGGTTGGGCTGGCCCAGCCCTGCAAGAGTGGGTGATGTGGTGCCAGTGCTGCTGCTGGTTGGTCCTCGCATGTGTCATTCCCGCCCCCCAAGCAGGCTTTTTTCTTGATCTGACCTTTGGGGCAGGACGGCATGGTGGAAGTCTGGGTTCAAGAGGAGGGACCACGCTGGTTCTTCAAGGGGAAATGCATCCTCCTCCCCTCCCTTGTGGCTTCCTAGCAAACCACAGCTTTAAACTGCTCAGGAGGCCTTATTGCTTTTTAATAAGGCTTTTCTATTGCATTTATAGTTGGTTTTGGTTGTTTTTAATTATGTGAACTGCCATGTCACAAATTGTGAGGAGGCGGGGGTCTATACAAATTGATTTTAAAAACTCCAGTTCAGAGGAAATAAAACTACGTAACACAGTACACCACATCCCCATATTGGTCTTTGTCCATCAATCTATCCATCTGTCAATCTATTTATCATCTCTCTGTCTATTTCTGATGTGTTTGTGTGTAGTTGTATGTACACACGCACATTCCTACCTGGGTTTCCAAAAGCAGATATGGAGCACTCCAGAGCCAACATCCAAACATTTCAAAGTTTATGATCAGTTTTGTATTTCAACATTGTATCTCTGTAATTTTAGCAGGTGATTCTATCACTGGTGCAGTTTTATTTTGTAAACCAACTAGATTTCTTAATAGTTATCATAGTTTTGAGCATACAAATTTATACCTCTTAGTTCAAAGGACATAAAATAGCTAACATTGCATTTGGGAAAAGCCTGTTTAGAAAAAGTCTAAATAGTTCTGGTCCTTTAAAAAAAATATTACTAGACAATTTGTGACCCGTTGGGTTATCCTTTCAGAGATGCTTCCTTACCAGGTTCCTTAATGCCTTCAGCAATGACAGGTACAAGCAGAGATCAAGAGTTGATCACAGGAAATATTTGATGACATTTGGTATTAAGTCAAAAATTGTTCTGTGTTTATGTCATAAAATGTTTCATAAAATTTGCCAAATTGTAATTTTACAGGAGTCGTGAGTTCTGAATTTTGGATAAATTCTGTAAGCCCATTTTAGGTACTTTGATTCAAAAATTGTTGTCCTCCTATGATGCAGTTTTTTTCCAGTTAAAGGTTCCAGAAACAAGAGTTTTAGAAGTGTATAGACTTAAAGGGACATATATATTAACCATTATTATTATTCTGCCAATAATTCTTACAGAATCTGATATTTCATGTTCTTTTGTCTCTCCCTGTCTCTGGTGAACTGAGCTCAGCTCTTCTAAATTCATTGGTTGAAGCCCTTGTTATTGATCTTTTTAGTGAAGAAATATTTTTTAAAAGATATGTATGTGAAATTTGAACACATAAAACATTTTCTGGAGCATAAAGTTCTTGTTGTGGCTCTTTGTAAATTAATTTCTATCATATCTGAAATAAACTTGTAGTTTTATACTGATTCGTCTGTGGAAAAAAACATTGTAAATACACCCTTGTCTCTTTTTGTCTTGTCACCACTAAACATTTACACAGGATGTCAGGAACCTAACCTTGAGGTTCTTATTATACCAATTGCCAAAATACAAATGGTGAGAAATAACGCATATTTCAAAAAATATAAGACTCAACTTTGGGGATATAAAGTTGCGATCCATCCAATCAGTGATTTGCATTTCTGTTTTGCACCTCATGTCTAGCCAACAGTTTGAAAGGACTCCCCAGAACTAACTGCCTAATTTTCTACAGTAGGTCAGCCAGGTGAGACGAAGATAACTCCCATTTCTATTTATTTGGCATCAAATTATTTCTTAGCTGGCCCAAAATGTTTGCATGGATGTGATCGAATGATACGGAAAACATGGCCTAGGGAGAACAAAATAGTGCAAAGGTTTGATGTTGGTTTGCCATCAGGAAGTCCTTCATGGCTTTGGGGTGCTCCACAGCTCCACATTTGGGGGACAAAAGGCAGAATTGGTGAATGAAGCCAAATGATGCAAGCCCGGTGGAGAACTTTGTGATGATTACAGCAACAGTTTTTTTTAAAAGCATTTCCTCTGGACCCAAGTTTCAAATGGACCAAGGCCAAAATCTTTAATGGACATCTAGGGCAGAACCTGAATGTGGAACTTTTTATTGTTACCCTAAATGCTCAAAGGGCGAATCTGGCAAACCTGAGCAACCCAAGTTGGCTGTGGGGTGTCAGGCAAAGGTCATGCTCCTATCTGGTCTCCTGGAGGCTGCTTGGAAAGCTTGGGGGTGACTTGGGGGTTCGTGCCAGCTGGGCTGGTTTTCTAAGCAAATGGCACAACTCGGAGGAGACTGAAGTTTCTATAAGGTTTTGTGGTTTCCTAGAAGCTTGTTTTTCTGGGATAGAGGTTTCCAGTCCCTAGATAACGGGCTGCGCTGGATCTTGCCTATATATCCTTCGTGGGCCACGGATTGAAAGGCCTATAGGGAAGGATCAGTGAGCAATACCTAGATGAGCAGTCGCAGGTGAACGAGAGGCGTGCCCTAATCGTAGCCATTTTCTGTAACCTTCAGTCTCCCAAAACTGGCCCTTGGGAAGTGAAAGTGGTTTCTTCTAAACACTTTGTGGGTCTGGTGATGTGAACCACTTGGGATTTCCTTCACCCAAGGAGGCCGCTGCCGGGAAGCTTCACTCTCTGCCACTTTGGTGAAAATTGAAGACATACTGGGGGAATTAAAGGAGTTTGATCAACTGATTTGGTATTGTTGCTTTGATTGGTTGGGAACTTTGAGCAGTCAGTTGGAGAGCTGAGAGAGACTAAAACAGACTTCCATAAACATATGTTTTCAGGCTTACCCAATTATCGCTATCTTACCATCTATTTTGTTCCATTTTGCTGCTTCTAGCTATGCCATGGCAGTCATGAACCACCACGTGTGCCCTGTTGAGAACTGGTGAGTTGTGTGGGAAAGCAGGAGGGCCGTGGGAGAGAGGAAGGCAAGGTGGGGGGGGGGTGTCTCCCTTTTGCTAGAGAATCTCAGAATGCTGCTTAATCTGTCCAAATGGCTGCAGGTCATACAACGAGTCTTGTTCTGCTGATTCTACCAAGCACGGCTACCCCAAAAGCTGCTGCACCTTGGAAGACATCCCTTTGATCAGGTGAGGGGGGAAGACGCTTGTGGAGGATGAGCCAGCGGCTGCCTCGGCTGCTCCTGATGTGGTGTCACGAAACGGTGCCAGGCAATTGCCAAATCGGGCGGTTTCCAAGCAAGTCTGTAGGACGACGGGCTGGTTTTCCATCTTGTGCTAATGCCCTTTTCCTTCCCTTTAGTAAATGTGGCACTTACCCTCCTGAAAGTTGTCTCTTCAGCCTTATTGGGAACATTGGAGCTTTCTTGGGTAAGTGTTCATTTCCCTCTCTTTTCCCAATTTCGTTAGCGAGTGGAGAAGCCGGTGGCAGGATGGTCCCTGGCACTCAGGGAGCAACTGCCGATCCCAGGCAGGGGGAGTTTCCAGAACACACATCACGCCCATCTTAGCCTACTGGTGGCTTTCTGACGGCCAGCCGGGTCAGGGCTGGGCAGGAAGCAGGGTGAGGAGATTTGTTCTTCTCTCTCTCTCTCCCTTCTCTCTCCCAGTGGCCATCATCTGCTTCCTGCGCTACGGGCAACTCCTGGAGCAAAGACAGGCCTCAGGGGTGAACACAGCAGCCCTTGTCAGCGGTTGCACCAACGCGGCAGGCCTGGTGGTGGTTGGAAATTTCCAGGTTGGTTGCGAGAAGAGTTGTCTGCAGGGTTAGGGATGCCATGGGCCGTTTCTGCTTCCTGGCCCCGAGGGGCCTCTTGGGTGGCTCTTTGGCCTTTGTGGAGCAGAGAGAACCACAAGGCAGAAAAACCAGTGCTTGAGCTCCGGCTGGAAGACGGCAGCGATTGCCACGGTAGCCCTGCCTTTGCTCTAACAGCCAGAGCCGGTCTGGTGCACCCCACAAGGGAGGCTTTTGCAAACGCAGAGCTGCCCGAAGTTGCCACGACTGAGCTCCTCTTTAGCCAGGCCATTGGGCGCTGCCAGGGTAGACTGGAGGCGTCGGTCGGCTTAGCTGTTGGGCCCCTTGCTGAGCTGCTCGTGCTGATGTGGCAAGACGTTTGTGTTCCACGAGAGGCAGTGGCGGCTTTTCGGCTCCGTGCCTTCATTGGAGCCAGACTCCTCCTGGGCACCAAGCCCCCGCTTTGGCCCCTGCCCGAGTCACCCGGTGTGCTGCTGGGGCAAGGCCGGCTCGCAGAGGCCCAAGAGGAACCACCCTGTTTGGGCTTCCTGCTACCTTCAGGTGGATTATGCCAAATCCCTTCACTACATCGGAGCCGGCGTTGCCTTCCCAGCTGGCCTGCTTTTCGTCTGCCTCCAGTGCTTCCTCTCCTACCACTCGGCTGCTTCTGCCCTGGACTCCTGGATGGCCCACCTGCGCGTGGTCCTCTCCACCATGGCCTTCGTCTCCCTTGTCCTCAGTATCCTTTTCTGGCAGCCGAGAGCCCCCGAGGCCCTGCCCGCCTCTGTCGCCCGCGTGCCCTCTCCAAAGCGCAGGGCCTCCCTGGCATGGGCGCCTGGCCTCCCCACCCCAAACCTGGGGCAAGGCCCTTTCCTCCCCCTCCTCCTTCCCCGGCCTTTCCTTGACTCGGCTGCAGGCGGCATCTTCTTCATCCACCAGAGCTTCCTCCTGCAGCACCTGGCCGCCATCTGCGAGTGGGTCTTCGTCATGGACATCCTCGTGTTCTACGGAACCTTCAGCTACGAGTTTGGCACCGTCTCCAATGAGACCCTGGTGGCCGCCCTGCAGCACTCCAGCGGCCGGGGCTGCAAGTCCCCGGGCAGCAGCAGCACCTCCACCCACCTGAACTGCCACCCGGAGAGTATTGCCATGATATGAAGGTGGCGGGAGAGGGAAGGCCCGCCCTACCTCCTCCGCTGCTCTGGCCAGCGGCCTTTCCTTCCGGCCACTTTGGTAGCAAGAGGGCTTTTTAAAGAATACGTTGGTGCCTGGCCCTTCTGTCCATCGGTCCCCACCCTGCAGAGAAGTGCCAAAGACCTCCGTGCCCAGCCTTTGCGCAAGGACACCTTGACGCGCTTCCTCTGCTGGACCTCTGGCCACCCTTCAGGGAGTGCCTCCAAGCCAAAAGTGTGCTTTTGTGTGCCTGTTGGGGCAGCCGAGAACCCAGGTTCCTCTGGCAACCATTGTGCCTCACTGCCAACCCGTCTTCTCTCAAGGCAAGAGTGGCTTAAGCCACAGAAGCAAGTTCATTTGGGGGATGATGTCCCCTGCGCTGGTGCAGACATACCCCTCCCCTTGTTAAGAAAATAAAAGCACGGGAAAGAGAGAACCTCCACCTCTGTCTCTCTCTCTCTCTCTCACACACACACCATACGGTGTTTCTCTTCAGCCCTGGGTAAAGCGAGGCGATGTTTTGTAGAACTTTTTTGTATCTTTACCTATATAATATATATAGATATAGATGGTATTCAGCTTTATTCGGGTATTTTCCCACGTCATTATAATTGTGCTTTTAAAGTTGTAGCAACATTTCGGCAGAATCTCATCTGCCATCATCAGGCTTCTGTATTGTGGAATTATATGACGTGGGAAAATACCCGAACAAAGCTGAATACCACACACACACACACACATATAAAAAAATAAATAGCTATCGGAGGAAGACTGCTGTGTGGTGTATAAGGGTGTTTCTGTGTGGTGGGTCTTTGTTTTGCCATGGGGGGGGGAGGAGAAACTTTTCTTGCCACAAAGCCCCCCCAGTCAAGTGGCGTGTGCACCAAGGACTCTTCTGCCTTGCAGGATCCCTCCTTGAATGCAGATGTTGATCCCATCAAAAGTTGCCTCAACATCTGGGCAGTGCATAGACATGACAACCCATCCACTCATACTTTTGCCCGGGGAAATGCCCCCCCCCCCATCTTGGTGCCCTAGATTAACCACGAAATTCCTCTTGCTGCCCGTAGCAGATTCAGAGTCATTCCTTGTTCTGCCAAGTTAAAAGGGCTGCAAGGGAAACAAAAAGCGGCACTGATATAAGTTGGTCTGTAAACTTAGTAAAAGTGCCACAACTTGCTGAGGGCCACGATGGTTGAGTTGGGCCCCTCCAGACCAGCTGGCCAGGTCGAGATAAGCCCCTCCTCCAGAGGGAACCTGCAGGGTCCTCCCTGCTGCCCTCAATGGACCCAAATGTTGGTTTTGTTAAGCAGCAGCCAAATCAACATCCCTGCAATGCAGCTCAGTTAGCAGAGGCAAGATCTTGGGAAAAGGCAGATCCCTGAGAATCCCGGGAATTGCCTATTTTGCAGGGAGTACGAGGCATTTGAACCTTTTCTTTGAATGTTTATTATGTATTTCCTAGATAGATAGCCCTTCACGCGGTTTTTCTCCTTGGCAGCTTGCCTCCTTCTCTCTTCCCCACGTGACGGCTCAGCGGGCAGCTTCCAGGGAGAAGCCCAATTTCCAGCCTGCAGCAAATGCTGGGAACGGCCACGGCTGGATAGGCGGCCATACGGCCATGGGGGCGGGCGGAGAGAAACCCACTGACCGCTCTTACCAGCTGGCTTGCACGGAGCCCCTTTGGGGAGGCAGCCTGGAACCAAAGACCGGCCCGCCTTCATTGTCCAGAGGCCGCTCTGGGCTCCGCGCATCGGAGGGCTCGCTTAGGAAGAAGCGCCGAGGAGGTTAGCGGGCGGGGTGGGTGGGCGGGGGGCTTTTCTCCTCCCCGGAAGCCGCTCGGGCCCCGGGGGTCACGTGTACATGGCGCCATGGAGATACTCCAGTCGGTGCACCTGCTGCTCCTTCCGGACCTTCGGGAGGGAAAGAGCGCCGCTGCAGCCCAGAGAAGCCGGCAGCAGCCGCCGCGCCCAGGGCGGGGCTAGAGGGCGGAAGTCCCCGCTACCGCCCCCCCCGCTCCAAAGCGGAGCCCCCCCCTCCCCGGCAGCCCCCCGCCGCCCCCCGCTCACCTTCTCCTGCTTGTACTCCTCGTAGTCCGGGTCGTCGGTGGGCAGCTCGTGGCGGCAGAGCGGGCAGGAGTTGGTCTGGGCGGGAGAGAGGAGGGCTCAGCACCGGGACGGGGGGCAGGGGGCGGCCTCCCCCTCCCTCCCTCCCTCCCCGCCCGCGCCTCACCTTTCCGAGCCAGGGCAGGAGGCAGCCGGCGTGGAAGAGGTGCTGGCAGGGCATCTGCCGCGCCGCCTCCTCCGCCTCGAACTCCAGCAGGCACACCGGGCACCGGAGCCCCTTCGCTGAGCGGGAGAACCGAGACACAGGGCCGCGTCAAACCGGCTGCCTCGCCTCCCCCCCCCCGGGGCTCCGCCTCTGCTCGCAGGAGCCCCGCCCGCCGCCCCCCCGAAGAGCCCCCGGCCCACCTGCTTGCGGGGCGCCCACCCGCACCTCGGGCAGCCCCTCCACGGCGCGCCTGGCGGCGGGCGGGGGAAGCCGGTGGTCCCAGTCGCTGCCCTCCAGGGCGTCCACGTCGATCTCCAGGCCGTGGAAGAGGGACCTGGAGGGGGCGCGGGAGGAGGCCCGTCAGCCGGCGCCCCTCCGGGAAGGCAGCCCGCAGCCCGCCCGGCTCTTCGGCGCCGCGGCCCCGCTTGGGCTGACCCCCCCCCAGCCCCGCCCCGCTCACCTGGCCAGCTCCAGCAGGGCGCGGCGCGGCGGCAGCGGGTCCCCCGTCGGGGCTCCGGGCTCGCAGTCGTGCTCGTCGAAGTAGGACGCCATGGCCGGGCCGGGAGGCAGGCCCCGCCCCGCGCCCTCTTTGGCCGGCGCCCAATCCGTGCGGCCACCCGGCTTTCCTCCTCCTCCTCCCGCCTCCTTGCTCTCCGCCGGCTCCGGAGCTCCGCCCGCTTTGCAAGCGCCCTGAGGGCGGCTCCCCTCCGAGGATCCCGCCGGGTCCTCCGATGCTGAAGCGGCTCCAAGGGCGAGCAGCCGAGTTGATTTGATCATTTATTTCTCTGAGTTGTCAATCGCTTACAAGATGATCGGTATAAGTATATAACATGAGTAAGAATACAGGAAAGAGGGACGGATAAATGGGGACCAGAGGAGAGGGGGGGGGAGGGGAGGCAGGATGGTGCCCTTATGCACACCCCTGAATGGTTAGCGGTGGGCCCTTTGGGGCCTCAGGGGACCGGGGACCCCCATCCCAAGGGGGGCGCACTTGGGGGCCCCCAGGGCCAGTTTCCCACCCAGTTGAGGCAGGAAGAGCAAGAGGGACCCAAAGAGGCTGGTTGGTCTTTCAGAGGCCCCTTTCCTGCCCCCAAACACGTGCAAGTGGACGATCTACCCATCTACCTGGGCCTCCTCAGGTGACAGATTGCAAAGGTTCCACCCAGGGCCAGAAGGCAGAGAGCCCCCCTTCCCCAAGCCCAGCTGAGGGGAAGGACAGCAGGGGCAGTGGAGAGCTACAAAGCTCCCCCTGGGGGAGCAGAGCCTTTCCTAGCCAAAGGGCTGAAGGCAGGAGACGCAAGGCCTGGACTTAGGCCCCAGTTTAACTGCTGTAGCCCAAGGCTGGACATCAGTGCACAAATGCCTTGCAATAACACTTGGACAATGGAGCAGGAAGTACACAAGTCCCCCTTCCGTCCATCCGTCCGTCCCACCTACAGAGAGTCCTTATTGGTGTTGAGGTCGTGGACATCACGGGGGGCTGTGCCCTTTGCTTCCTTTCTCCATCGGCTTGCTTGCCATGATGATGAGAAACCAAGGGGTCAAGGTTGCTGCCAGGTCCTAGCCAAGCCCCGATGCCCGGCACCCCTGAAAGCTTGGCGTTGGGAAGATGACTCCAGGGCGAATTGGATCAGCGATCAGTCACCACCACCAGCGCTGGTCTGTGCTGGAGCCCCCTGGTTCCCAGATCCAAAGAGAGTGAAGTAGAGGGTGATGGCTAAGACGATGATCAGAACAACGACCACGACCATGGATACCAGGATGACCTTGAATCTCACATTCTCCCAGCGCTTCTTCTGGGCCAGGGTCTTGGTGGTCTTGGTGAAAGCAGAACTCTAAAAAGAACCAGTTGGAGACAATTGCAATCTCATTCTGATGAATTCAGGTAATCTCCAGCTTATAGCCGTTCGTTTAATGACTGTTCAAAGTTACAACGGAACTGAAAAAGTGACTTTTCCACCCTTCTGCAACATCCCCATGGTCACATGATCAAAATTCGGGCACCCAGCAACTGCCTTCCACTTCCCTGGCTCCTGGGATCCCTTCCCAGCTGGCGCCCCTCGAGCAAAGTCAACGGGGGAAGCCACATCCACTTAACAACGGCAGTGATTTCCTTAACAATTGTGGCAAAAAGTTCACAAAATGGAGCATAATTCACTTAACAACTGTTTTGCTTAGCAGTGGAAATCTGGGGCCCCATTGTGGCCATAAGTTGAAGACTACTTAAATGGGCCTTTGGCACTAAGGTCTCTCCCTGGCTTGCGTGGGAATTACTCACCAAGGCCCACATCCTGAATGTCAGCCCTCAAAAGGCCGGAAGGCTGAAAAGAGCCGAGATCCGGGCAAGGTTGAATTCCAGCTTCTGCTGCCCTGTCTTGAGTTAAGTGGCCAGGGATGGAGAGCCGGCACGAATTCCAGAGTGAGGAAGTGGCTGCCTGAAAGCTGCTCGCAGCCTCTGCACCACTTCAGATTTCAAGGCCTGGCTGAGGAAAAGGAGCCCAAAGTCCCCCATGAGGCTGCTAGCGGCCCCTTCCTTGAAACGGGAAAGTGGACGGAACAAAGCCAAGCCAGAGTCTCGGACTTTAAGAGAGAAAGCTCAGGAAGGATCCATGGATGGAAATCTTAACGGGAAACAAGACACTTGGGAAACCGAAAAAGGAACTCCTAAAAGCTCTTTCTGACACAATATCACTGAGAAAGAAAAATAAGAGGCCTCGGACTAAACCAGTATGCTTGCATAAATAACTCTGAAAAACTGAGAGATTAAAACAAACAAGTACAAAACATGGAAAGAGACACACATAACCAGCACACAGCCTGAATCTGCACAGATGAAGTCAGGAAAGCGAAGGCTCAGAATGAACTAAGACTTGCAACAAATGTCAACAATAATAATAAAACTTTCAACACGATATAAAAGCAAGAAAAATGCAAGGAGACAACCGATCCGCTAATGGGAGAAGGTGGCAAGGAGGTGATGGGCAGCGGGGGCAGGATGGGTCACCCTGTTCTCCAAACAAGCACCTGAGGACGGGAGAAGAAGGCATGAGTGGAAGATTAATAGAGAGAGAGAGAGCCAAGCTAGAATTCAGGAGAAGCAATCCTGACAGTGAGAACAATTCATCAGTGAACTGCTTCTCTGCCTGGAGGCTTTCAAGAGGAGATCAGACAAGCGTTTGCCTGGAACGATCCAGGATCTCCTGCACAAGCCACGGGTGGGACTAGAAGACTTCCAAGGCCCCCTCCAACTTCTTGTCCCGTATTCCTTGGGCCTGACCCCACTGAAATGCCAGCTGGCAGGTAGGCCCAACTGGCTGTCCAGCTGTCCTTGCAAGGCGCTGGACAAAGAGCTTGTGCCCCACCCAATCCCCACATCCCCTTCCAAGGCCTCCATACCTGTTTCCGGAGCTCATCAGCCCGCTCATCCAGGTCGCTAAGCTTCCCCTCGCGGTCCATCACTTTGGTGTAGTTGTCTAGCATGATTTCTGTCACCTGGTCAGCCTCCTGCTGGCACCGCTTCAGCTGGTTCTCACCCTGCAGAAGGGGACAGGTTGGTCACAGGTGAGACTCGGGCTCATTCCCCCAGCATTTGTACAAGAAGGCCTTCCTTGGGGCGCAAGGAGGAGGGGCTACTTGCCCAGCGCCTGGGAGGCTCAAGCGGACTGGCTGGAAAGCGCCTACTTTGAGGCCAGTGTGATGGCCTTGGGTTGCCTTCTCCGAAGACCATGCGACTCGAGAGAGCCGCCAGGTGTGCTCAGGATGCCTGCGAGGCACTTCTGCACCCCAGGTGAGCATTCCAGGCATGCTCCAGGATGGACCTTTCTCTGCAAAGGAAAACTGCTGGAAGGCCAGCCGTGCGTCTCTCTCTTAAGTAGAAGATGAGAAAAGCAATGGAGGCTGAGCATTTAAGCATCCCAGATGTATATTTCTTGTTGAATTTCTTGTATTTACCTTGTCCTTAAGAATGCCCCAGGTACCACACATTTAACATTTGGCAGACAGTTTAGTCTAGTGGTTAATGCACCAGGCTAGAATGCACCAGACAATGGGGGTAAACTGTCACCCAGGGCTGTCAAACTCCAGTCACGCACTGGCCACACCCAGACCCAGTTTAGCAATGGGGGCGGGGGGGGGAAGGTCCCGCTACGCCATGTGATACCGCCATGATGCCGCGAGTTTGACACTCCTGCCCTAAGGGTTCTGGAACCCACAGCCCTCCATTGCTGCTCCCTTTAACTCTGCCTTGCCGCCCCCTCTGACACCCCGCTTTTTCCACCCCCCGGCTGCCTCACTGCAAACACCCATCCGTATCTACTGATTGCCTGTGACTGACACTCCGCCTGGACTCTGGGAAGAAGACCAAAGCCGCCTTGGTCAACCGACACCCCTGGCTGCCCTAAGTCTTCCTTGGCAGCAGGTGGACAGGAGCCAGAGCAGAGCGGGCAGCCAAGGCACAGCTGAAGTGCAGCAGCAGCAGCAGCAGCAGCGGAGATGACGCAGCAGGCCAGCCTGGGAGGTCTTGGGGCTTTCCAAGGGAAGGAATGCTGGCTGGCTGCCAAAGGATCACAGGGCAGATTCTGTGCCCGGGAAGGAACCTCCCGCCACAGACGCAAAGGAAGCTGGGGCCCTGGATGGGAGGCTGGGGGTGGGGGCACCTCCTCAATTGCTAAGACCTTCCACGTTCCCACAAGCACCACTGAACCTTGTAGCCTCTCAGGGTCTGGGCACTCGCCCTGGGCATGAACTGAGGAGCAGACAGAGCAAGGACTCATCCCTGCCTTAACTTCCCTCTGGCCTTCTGGTTGGGCGAGACCTTCTCTTAAAACCGCTTCTTGTCTCAAGTTCTATTCCAGCATTTCAAAGACCCTCCAGGTCCCTCCTGCCAACTCGGTTATTCTGCTCTGTTGGGCTACTGATCGGATGCTTTATGGCATTCAGGCTGGACTTCAGGAGTCGGTACCGTTTCCGTTTGTGGTGCTACTTTTATGCCCATTATGCAGCTTCACCAGAGGGTCCATAAACCGACATGGTTCATCTTGACGGTGGGTGAAGATCCAGATGGAAGTTTGTGGAGGTCTCTGGAGTGAAGGCAGGAAAAACCCTTTCAGGGGATGGAAGTGGAGATGAGCTCGTTTGTGGGAAGAGGTGCAGGCCAGAGGGCCCGGTAGATCTTTGCATGAATGGCTCCCCAACTCTTTCTCCAAGTTGATTTGAGCAAAAGAACAAAAGAGGTTAGCGGCCAGTCATTCTAGCGCTGTATCAGGATAGATGTTTTCTTGCAGAAACCTACAGAAGCGCAGCCTGAGAATCGATTATTATTACCTGTATTGTCAGAGCACAACATGTGTACAATGAGATTGGCTCAATCGCCGTGTGGCGTGAAGCTGCTCAGGACATGTTCTTTCTTCTGCCTCAGACTGGGACACGTTTGCTGGTCCAGCCTGCTGCAGAACTCGCTTCCTAAGCTCTTCTCTTCCAAGGGGGCTTTGCCTCGTGAGTTTGAAGTAACGTATTCTGTACGTTTACTTCAATTAACAATGTTAAAATCCCATCCTGTGCTGCATAGCAGAGACTGCGTTTTCAACGTGCCTTAAAGTGTGTACAAGAATCTTTGTCGGAAACTTTGCAAATATTCCCACTGGGAACCAGCGTCCTTGCTCCAAAGGAAGGGCCAACTCCTCGGGCCTTTGGCCAACAGGAAGCAAGGAAAGCCCTGGGGAGATCCTGCCAGGAAGCAGCAGCTTCCTGAGGGCAGGAGAGATGATTAACCTGAAGGCAGTTAAGACGACTTGGACCGAGGAAGCAACTGAGCAGCAGCAGCAGCGAAGAAGCGGCTCTGCTCCTCTGCCTGCCCTCCTTGGCTGGACAGGATCCCTTCCGTGGAAATGGGCAGGGCAGTGATTCCACAGGGCACCAGCCCTCAGGGGCAGGCGGTGGACAAGCAGCGGAGATCACAACTGTCGGGACTCAAACAGTGGGAGGAATATGACCGGTCACTTAATTCCACCTGAAGGTGCAGCTCGGGAGGCTTTTGCCAGTCCCAGGGCCTCTCTGTTGCCTGCTGGGCCCAGTGGGACCAACTCTAGAGCCCAACCAGAGCAAGGAAAGCCACAGATCCCAGGACCTGATCGTCAATCAAGTCTTGGGGGACAAGTGAACCAGCCAGTGGCTTTGACCTCCAGTGCTAACCTGCTCTGAACACATTCAGACAAACTGCCTCCCCTCCCAAGCTGAGCTCTCCCTGCAGGGGAGTCAGTGGGAACGCCAGGACCCACAGCCGCCTGGGGCGGAGACAGGATAGTGGTGGAGTGGGGCCTGGGTCGCCACTGTTGCCCCCTGCGCGGGATGGGGGGGCCGGGCAACACGGGGCCTACCAGACGTCCTCGAGCCACTTCCACAGGAGTCCCCCAATGTGGCTCATTCCAAAGCCCCAAGTGGCCTCTTGTTCGGGATGCGCTGCCCCTTCGCATTGCAAGGGAGCCCAGGGAGTGCGGTAGCAGAACCAGTAAATTTGACTTAAAATGCATTTAAATTAAATATAATTGACAAACATTGAAACATTTTTAACGTCTTTAGCCATAACAATTCAACAGCCCTTCGGACGGGCAGCTTTTGCTGCAAGGGGGGAACGGAGGGCTTCAGGCTGAGCACCCCCGAGGGAGGGTCTGAAGGGGAGCCGGGCGCCGCCTGTTTCCTTGCCCACAGCTTCCTTCCCGGAGCGGGGGCGAAGGAGGCGGGGAGGGAGCCGAAAGGCCGCCCTTCCGCCACAGGCTGGCCTCTTACCCCGAAGGCCCGGGCGCCAGCTCGGCCTCCAGAGCGAGAGGGGCTCAAGGACGGCCTCTCGAGTCACACGGTTGCCCGCTTGCCATGGAGGCCGAGCGGGCAAGCGCCAAATCCTCCTGCCCGAAGGACCCGGAAGGCCTGGCGATCCCCAGACCGAGAAACGCGCCGGCTCAGCGGCGGCTCCCCACCCTCCAAAGGGGCATTTCCCGGGTACCGGCCTCGGAGGGGAGGCCCGAGGCCGGACCGAGGGGCCTGCAGGGCTTCCCGGGACAAGGCCAGCCGGACCGCCCCGTCTAGGAAGGGCGCAGCCGCAGCTGCCGGAGCATCGCAAGCGGGAGGCCCGGCCTTCCAAATGAGGCCAGGACCCGACGCGGAGCCGGCCTTTGTGCCCCTCCCTGAACCGGGAAGACGGCCGCCCTCCCCCTGCAGCCGGACGGCCTGCCCAGGGCCCCGCTGAACAGTCCGGGAGCCGGCCGTGGGCAGCGAGAGTCCCGCCGCGGCTGGGAACCCCCAAGGCCGGCAACAGGCTCTCCGCCCGACGGCCTCATCGGGCGGGGCACCCCAAGGACGCCGGCCAGCCCCGTCGAGCCCGCACAAGTCACCGGCCACGAGCGCGGACGAACGAGGCTCCGCTCCGCGACCGGCCCAGGAGCGGCAGCCGTCGAAGCCCTTACCATGGCCGGCGCTGGGAGCTGCAGCGGCGGGAGCGTCCCGGCGGCGCCTCCACCCGGCCTGCGTCCTCCGGGAACAGCCCGAGCAGCGCGTCCTCTGGACGGCCGGGGGCGAGGGTAGGCGGGACCCGCTGCTGCCGGACAGCTCGCCGCCCTCGCGCCGCCCTCCAGGGGCCTCCGGGGCGGGACGAGGGCCGCCCTCCCCCGCTTCCCGGAGCCGCGACCCAGGAGACGGCGGGGGGGGGGGGGCGTCGCACCGCTGGCCTCGCCTGACCTTCTTGGGGCTGCAGGGGCCGCCGAGCGGGCAGAGACGCGGCAGGCGCCCTTCGGGAAAGGCGATCCGGCGGCGGCTGCCGCTTCCCTGTCCTTGTGGCGTCCTCTTCTGGGAGGGAGAGCGGCGGGGGGGTGGGGGTCGTGGGATTCTCCCCAGGGATTTCCCCCTCCCGTCACCCGGGACCCCACCAGGCCCCAGCCTCTCTCGGCAGGGCAAGAGAGAGGCCGAGAAGTTAAGCCGGGGTGGGGGGAGGGAAATCCTCTTGGAGCAGCTTTGAACCGCCAGGCTGGGCTCCTTCCACCCTCCCAGCAGTTCTCAGAACCTCCTTCGGGTGCATTGAAGGTCCGCCAAGAGTTGAGTGAATTCTGTGCTCTTCTTCCATGGAGATTTCTGTCCCGGTCAAGATGGCGGCCTTCCTGGTCCCCTCATTCCTTGCCTATTCTTGTGCTTCCCAGAGTTGGGAGGGACCTAATCCAACCCCCCCCCCCCAAGTGGGAGACCCTACACCATTTCTGACAAATGGCAATCCAGTCTCTTCTTGAAGGTCTCAAGTGATGAACCTTCCACAACTTCTAAGGGCAACTTCTGTTCCAGGGGTTGATTGTTCTCACTGTCAGAGAATTCCTCCTTATTTCCAGGTTGAATCTCTCCTGGTTCCGTTTCCATCCATTGTTCCTTATCTGGCCTTCAAAGGTGCTTTGGAAAACAGCTTGACCCCTTCCTCCTCTCTGCGGCAGCCCCTCAAATATTGGAAGATGCTCTCCTGCCTCCCCTTGTCCTTCTTTTTATTAAACTAGATATACCCAGTTCCTGCAACCATTCATCGTGTGTGTTACCTCCAGTCCCCTCATCATCCTGGTTGCTCTTCTCTGCACTATTTCTAGAATCTCAACCTCTTTTTTATGACCAAAATTGGATGCAGTATTCTAGGTGTGCTCTTACTAAGGCTTTATCGAGTGGTATTAGTGCTTCCCTTGATCTTGATTGTATCCCTCTCTTAATGCAACTTAGGATTGCCTATAGTCCTAAATTCCAAGGGCCACATTTTGGGGTGGGGGTGGACAACCGGAAGGGCAGGCAGGCTGGATGAGGAGATTTCCATCCAGAGCTCTGCCAGCCACCCCCCCCCCCCTTCTGGCTCTGCTGCTCCCCGGCTGAGAGCCGGAGGGGCTTCCTTTGCTCCGTTGCCTCTCTGCACCTGCCCTTGTAGGTCTGGGGCAGAGGGGGAGGGGAAGAGAGCGCCTTCAAAGGACAACTTTGAAACCACCAGAGATCATTTACCATGCGGTGACCTTCCGCAGCAAAAGGTCCCCCCACTGGAGCTCTGGAAATAAGTGTTGCTTTTCTCCAGCAATTTACAGGACGGGCCTAGAACTGGCAGGCATACTCAGTGGGCCCAGGGCCCAGAGGCCTTCCAGAGAAGGGGCTGCTGCACACTTCTGAGTGCAAAACCAAGGCCCAAAATCTGCCCTTGGACTGGCTGATGCTCAACATGTTTCTCAGCCAAGATATGGAGCATGTTTCTTTCAGGATAGCCAAATGGAAGCTAAACTAGGCCTTGCAACCTTCACTAGGGAACAACGCCCGTCTGCAAGAATGGCATCTCAGTTCAATCAGAATAGAGCTGGAAGGGTCCTTGGAGGTCTTCTAGTCCAGCCCCCTGGTCAAGCAGGAGACCCTATATTCCATTGCAGACAAGTGACTGTCCAGGCTCTTCTTAAAAATCTCCAGTGAAGAAGCAGCCACGACTTCTGATGGCCGGCTGTTCCACTCATTGTCCTGTTAGGAAGTGTCTCCTTAATTCCAGGTTTCTTCTCCTGCCCTCTGGTGGTTTGGAAAATAATTTTTTGAAGACAGGAACCACATTGGTGCTTTTCAATCCTTCGGTAATTCCTTTTGTTCCAGGATTTTTGAAAGATATGGTATACTTTTAAGATAACATCTGCCGGGATATAATCCATCAGGTCCCGGTAATTTATATTCAAGATCAGATAGGTGTTCTCTAACCATTTTCTTGCTTATTTTAATTTTTATTTCTAGTCTGTCACAGTCAGGTTTTTGGTAGGTTGGGCTAGAGTTTATTTTGGCATGAAGACTGATGCAAAGAATGAGTTAAGCAGCTCTGCTTTCTGCTGCCTGTTACTTCCTTGCCATCTTCTCTGTTAAGTGGACCTACTGTTTCCTTGACTTTTTTCTGGTTATTTATATGTTGAAAGAAAATTTTTTATTATCTCTGACTTTTGTTGCAAATCTTTGTTCATTCTGAGCCTGTGCTTTCCTCACTTCATCTTTGCAGATTCGGGCTATCTGCCGATACTGGGCCTTAGTTATGTGTGCCTCTTCCCATTTTTTGTACTTACCCTTGTTGTCTTTCAGTTTATCAGAGATGTTTTTGTGAAATCATGCTGGGTTTTTTTCTTGGATTTCTTTTTTTCCCCTTTTTCAGTGGTATTTTGTTGGGCTGGGCTTTTATGATAATATTTTTAAGAGTTTCCCACGTTTCCTGAGTTTTTTTCTCCTTCTCAAGAGCTGAAGAAGCTTCTTGGATAAGGAGCTAAATATCTTCAAGGAAAAACCCAGAAGGTCCAGTTGCCTGTTGAAAAAGCACCTTTGGGACAATCATGACCTGGACGACGGAACCTCCACAGACATTCACCCCGGCCAGCTCGGTGCGGCCTGTTAGCTGCCACCAGCTGGCCACTGCCAACTCACCCCTGCCAACTAACCACTGCCAAGTTGGTTGCTGCAGGAGGACTTCAAATGGCCACAGGGACAACTCGTTGCAGAGGGCCAGAGGGCCAGCCGGGCGAGCCAGCGGGTGGGCTGAGCGCAGAGCAGCAGCAGAGATGACCAGAAGCTTCCCATTTTCACACGCACCTGCTGCCTCCCTCCCCACCTCTTGGGCCCAGAGCTTGGCATGAGAGCGGTGGCGGTGGTGGTGGGTGGGTGTGAAAATGGGATGCCCATGGCTACTGCTGCTTCCCTGCTGTCCACCCCACCACTCTCTCCGGCCTCTTTGGCCTGGCAGTGGCGGCAGCAGGGGTGTGTGAAATCGGAACTAGGTCAGAGGATGTCCGTGTGACCTTATAAGACTCGCCATCCCCTGCCCCGTACGAGGTGCCGAGTGTTGGAAACCCAGGCGTGCAGGCCAGGCCTGGCAGTGCTCCATGTAAATAAAGCCCCTTTACACTATAAGCAACCAAGGGCTCTCGGAAAACCAGTGAACAGTCCACAACACCAAGACCAATTCTTCCAAAATGGACTGAATGAAAAACTGGCAGCTCAACACTTGTAGGAACCTATTCTGAAAAGTGGACACACTGTAAAGGTGTCGCCATGCAGACTGTATGGACTGAGAACCCAGGAGCATCAAGACTTGCTTGATGAAAACCACGCGGCCATTTCGGCAGCCCTCGAGGGCAAGAACAAGCCCTAGGCACCCTGGCAGGACCACCCATCCTCAGTTGCAAGGAAGTTTAAGCACCTGTAATCCACAGACAGGTGGATTTCAGTGGAGACTGCACCTCCGTCCCTCTTGTGGCTACCGAAAGGAATCCCTTCCCTTCCTTGCGTCTTCCTTTCTTCAGTGCAAGTGGCGCTCTCAGTTCTCCTGGGTGTGTGTGTGTGTGTGTGTGTGTGTGTGAGAGAGAGTGTTACCTCCACCCACCCATGATCAAACTGCCCGTAATTTGGCTGTTGGGGATTGAATGAGGTAACTGGTTGGGGAGCTGCTCCTTGGCCCTATCCCCAGAAGGAAATATCTGGCCAAGAAAGTCCTTTGTTCTAGGGACACGGCCGGGGCAGGGAGGGGCGCCCCTGGGCACCACCCACTCCCTGTGGTCTCCCAGATACCAAAAACCGGAACACCCTCCCACAAGCCAGCAGCCACATACCTGACATTCCTGGGAGCCCAGTCACACCTGAAGCCAGTGGGGAGGAAAGGACAGGATTCCCCAGGCCTGCCTTTCTGCCGGATGAAGAAGCCCTTCCTTTCATCTGGGGAGGGGAGGGGAGGGGAGGGGAGGGAGAGGGGCTGAGGGAGCAGATCCAAGGTGCAGCCCCAGGTCTCTGCAGGAACACTTACTCCCCTGTGCACTTCCCCCGCTTCTCAGCTCCCCCACTGGGAAAGCCTCCTGAGCTCTGACCCCGGTTCTTGGGAAGGAGGGAGGGAGGGAGGGAGAGGCAGAGGAAGGAAGGAAGGGAAGGAGGGAAAAAGGATGAAGGAATGAAGATTGCTGACGTTCCCTGCCAGCTTCTCACAAACAAACTCAGTAGGGAAACCAGCAAAAAGTCAGAAGTCAATCCCATTGCCACTATTTTCCTGCCTCCAGCGGTCATTCTCTGCTTAGGTAAGAAAAGATGTCCGCAACTATGAGCCTGCAGAGCACGGGCTGCCTAGTACACTTATGGTTGTGATTCAGTGCCATTTTCTGGCTTCACTTGGTGTCCTCGCTCGGTCCCTGAGGTGAAGTGAGGCCATTTACACTCTTAGGCATTCACAAAATGTAACGGTGGCCTAGACTGAATTGTCCGGCCTTAAGGAGACCCTGGTATATAGCAGGTGATTTGGGCCCTCTTGAAATGCATGAATGGAGCATCAGTGATAGAAGACACCAAACAGCAACAAATCCAGCAGAAGTTAACGAGATTTAGCTCAGGAATGGAGGGAAATGCTTTTTTTCAGCTGGGAGTTCAGAGACCAGTTGCCGGCCTCTCTGCCCGTTTCTTGGCCGGATTGTCCGTGGCTGGCCAGAACAAAGAGCCAGGGACCCAGGCGTTGGAGCCACCGTGGCAGTTGCTCAGCCAATACAGGGAGGGGGCAATTCCGAGAATCGA